GTCAGTGGGAGGAATAGTGCCCCATCATTGGTATCAGTGGGAGGAATAGTGCCCCATCATTGGTGTCAGTGGGAGGAATAGTGCCCCATCATTGGTGTCAGTGGGAGGAATAGTGCCCCATCATTGGTGTCAGTGGGAGGAATAGTGCCCCATCATTGGTGTCAGTGGGAGGAATAGTGCCCCATCATTGGTATCAGTGGGAGGAATAGTGCCCCATCATTGGTGTCAGTGGGAGGAATAGTGCCCCATCATTGGTGTCAGTGGGAGGAATAGTGCCCCATCATTGGTGTCAGTGGGAGGAATAGTGCCCCATCATTGGTGTCAGTGGAAGGAATAGTGCCCCATCATTGGTGTCAGTGGGAGGAATAGTGCCCCATCATTGGTGTCAGTGGGAGGAATAGTGCCCCATCATTGGTATCACTGGGAGGAATAGTGCCCCATCGTTGGTGTCAGTGGGAGGAATAATGCCCCATCATTAGTATCAGTGGGAGGAATAATGCCCCATCATTGGTGTCAGTGGGAGGAATAGTGCCCCATCGTTGGTGTCAGTGGGAGGAATAATGCCCCATCGTTGGTGTCAGTGGGAGGAATAATGCCCCATCATTAGTATCAGTGACACCAATGATGTGGCACTATTCCTCCCACTGACACCAATGACACTTGCTGACCCCTGTTGCAGTATGGTGCTGCTGCAGCCAGCATATGTGGTTGCAGCAGCACCTCTGCACTGCACACTTACCGGCTTTTCCCTCACTCGATTTTCGCGGGTCCGCTTGGCTCCGCCTCCTCGCCCGTGATTGGCCGCCTGTGTACCTTTCCTGAGCTACAGTTCTGGCGGCCAATCACCGGTGAGGAGGCGGAGCCGAGCGGCAGGAGTGAGGGAGTGGCCGGAGTGACGGAAGGAGCAGCGCTTCCTGGATGGATCATCGTGGGAGCCAGGTAAGAGACTGCAGCCCTCTGCCCACCCCTGTACGCGTCCCCCTTGACGTTGACTCGAGTATAAGCCAAGGGGGGCGTTTTTCAGCACAAAGAAGGTGCTGAAAAACTCGGCTTATACTCGAGTATATACGGTAATGGCCAATGATCTTGGCCAAAATGCCATGCTCACGAGACGATGTGCACAATAAACAAATGGTGTTGTGGCTTAGTTCTCATTCTCACAGTGTGGTCCCAAAGCCACAATGATACTAGGAACATCCCCATGTCACCATTCCCAGGGGGCGCTTAACACTGCAGGCTTTCTGCCTTCCCAACCCCTGGCCAGACAAGGTAGCAGAGCTCAAACTAGGAGGAACTGGACCCCACAGGTCCCTCCACACTACAAAAGTACTGCCAACCCTTACATTACTCACTACTAATTTGGATTCCCTCAGAACCCCCATCATACCAGTAGGGATATTGTACAGCCAACTAACCCAGTCATAGAGCCAGAATGATGATGGAGCATCCCTTCCTGGCACTGATGAGAACAGATACTGCACTTGATCTTAGCCAAAATACATCAATTAAACCTGTCAGGAGAAATGCCATTGCCTACTTACATTTGAAAATACTGGTTACCTGGCTGTTTTGCTGAGCCTCTGGCACATGCTTAAATGCCTATCTGCAATATGTATTCAGATTTGCAAAGTTATAAGTCTGTATTTGCATGCTTTTCCTGCTATTGGTCAGTAGTTGAAAGCATTAAAGCAAGAGGACAGCAAAATTATCAGACAATTACAATGTAGCATCTGCAAAAAGAAAGATCAGTAATGGCAGCCTCTAAGTGTTCGAAATGACAGATTTCCTTTAACCACTTGAGCTCTGGAAGGTTTTACCCCCTTCATGACCAAAGCATATTTTTTTGCTATTCAGCACTGTGCTACTTTACCTGGTAATTGCGCAGTCATGAAACGCTATACTCAATTTAAATTATATAATTTATTTTCACACAAATAGTACTTTCTTTTGTTGCTATATTTCTTTTGTTGGTGTTACCACTGGGTATTTTATCTTCTTTGTGCACCTTATTTAAAGGAACAGGAGCCAGATCCCCTGCTTCAGAAGAAAGTCTCTGGATTGCTGGGTGAAAAGGAATTCATCTAGGGTCTGGGGTGGTACAACTAGGAGCAGCTGACTAGCACTCTTAGGGCTCGTTCACACTTGACTGTTTTACCAACGCTTGCCAAACGCCCCTATAGCATTTGGCAAGCATTGGTCCGGCGTTTGCAGAGCGTTTTTTAATGCTCAGCAAACGCTCCGAAAACGCCGCATGCGCGGTTTAGTGGCGGTTGCTAGGCGTTTGCCGAGCATTAAAAACGCCCTATAATGAAGTTTAAATGGTGTTACCGCTCCGCAAACTTCCCGCAACCGCGCCGCAAACGCCGGCCGGGCGTTTGCAGAGCGGCACCATAGACTAGAATAGGAGGCTTCAATGTCCCCTGACTCGACCAGAGGCGTCCGTTTTGCTAACGCTCCCGTCAGAACAGCACCATGTGCTGCAATGTGCAGAATTATCTGAGGCATTTGGGAAGTGGTAAAAACGCTTCCCAAACGCCTCCCTGCCGCCTGCACACAACACTAGTGTGAACGTAGCCTAAGAGAGACTGTGTCAGAAAAAAGAAGCTTGTAAATAGTCCAGGAAGTTGTCCTCAGATTTCAGTTCCTTTGGGCATCCTATACCCCCTTACCCTATCCAAATTCTAATCCCCTCAATAAATACCAAAACCAAAGCTCAAAGACTGGTTTCTGTCTCCGGATGAAAGCTTGCGTGGAAATGCTGAATGACTGGCTGTGCAGGACTGCAGGGGGACCCAAATTCATCAGCAATCTTTAAGAGGGTAGTGCTATATGTGTATTGGAAAAAATGCTGCAGTTGTGTTATAATATGGGTTGTGGTCAGTCCTGGCACAGGTTTATTCAAAGCCCAGGGCAAGGATACGAAACTGTGCCCCCTCCCGTGCTCCCAATACATGAAGTAGTATAGGTGTACCATCCTGTGCCCATTCTCACCCACCTTTGCACTGGCTGCTCATGGTTGCCATGGAGTGTTCACTACACTTTTGGCCAGCTGCTTGCTTTCTAGCAAATAGAAGGTAATTGCATAGACTTGGTGTGTTTTTTGTGTCAGCAGTGACCAAAATGGGGTTGAGAATGGCCATTTGGTGCATGTTTGACATCAGTAGCTGTCAGAGTAGACATGAGTTTGCACCCTGCTGATTGCTAGCCATTGATCTAGGGATTGTGTGGTGAAGAGGTGCCTCCCTCCCGTTGCACCCTAGGCGGCTTGCCTCCTACTCCCCCCCCAATGTGTTAATGCACTGCCACAATGTGAACAGGCCATAAGGGATTGACTGCTCTGCAAGCTGTTGGGCAGTAGCACCTTTTCCTTTTCCAGGCCAATGTAAGCGATGAAGCTGTACAGCTAAGGATGGTCTGATATAACCTGTTATAGGGGGTAGGCAGTACAAGTCTTCCTTCCTTCTTCTGCTCCTGGTTGGTTGGTGACACACTTGGAGGTTAGAGCTAGGTCTTGTGCATAGAACACCAGACTCAAAATGGGGAGTCATTCTGAGGACTTCCTAAGTGAATGTTGGGGGAATGTGCCAGAAATGGGACATATTTATCTGTCAGGTGATAGGGTTTGGTGTGTGGTTTTTGTTTACTGTTGCTATTTCTGGGGAATACAGTATGTTCTCTGGATACCTATAATTTGCTAAATGCCTTAAAGTATATTTCCACTTTTTTATCCAAATTGAAATAACATCTACTTTATATTTAATTAAAAAATATATGAAAAATGCAGCTTATCTTTTTAGATGATCTATTCTGAACAAGGAAAAAGGGGCTGGGTAGCTACATTTGCCACAATTAACCCCGTATGCATTGTGCAGGCAGATCTCTATTATCAATTACTGTATAACTAGATTAGAACACTGTGGGGCTTATTTACGAAAGCTGGAGAGAAAATCAGGCTCACTTTTGTATAGATACCAATCAGCTTCCAGGTTTTATTGGCAAACCTTGATTGAACAAGCTGAGGCTAGAAGCGGATTGGCTATGATGCACAGGTGCACCAGATTCTTAGTGAACCCCTGTCTGTGTAGGTTAAAAGTGTAGAGGCTGGACTTCTTGCATTCTATGTTAATAAGGACAGACTTGGGACAGACTCACTCTAACATTGTTCAAATAACCTTGGCAGTCAACAATGGCACCTCTTTCTGAGAAACATCTAAAAAGTAAAAAAATATTTTTAAAAGTTTGATTACAAGAATGGAAATAGGTTTTAAGTCCTCATTTACACCTGAGGTAGGCGGGTGGTAAAAACACAGAGTTGAGACCCTTTCGTACACCCTCCAACTGCTCCTCCTTGTGCTGCAAAGGAAGCGGGTTGGGATGTACACATGCAACAGCTGTAATGGTTTGCATTGGAGAAGTGTATAAATTATGCTTGCGTAACTACCACCTCAGAACTGACTGAAATGTATGCGTTTTGGCGCAGAGGGGCAGGTTTTTATTGGTTAAAACAGGCAGAAAAGAGGTAATATAATGCCCTCTGAAGAGTGATCTACCACAAAATGCTCTTCAGAGGGCCAACGCTTGTGTAAACGACCCCTAAAGCAGCTTTTCATAACGCCTAAATATGCGTAAAGCATTTGCAATTTTAATCAATATACTTTAAATGTGTATGTGTATTTCCTAAACTATACCTACAAAGCTTGGAAATAATTCAAATGCTTATATCAATACAATACTGTTTTTAGTACTGATTAGTATGAAATTAGTCTTTTATTTTTCATTCTAGTTTTTTTTTCTTTTCACACAACACAGAGTTGCTCACTACAAGATGTCAGAGCATTAGTGATTAAATATTAACAGTTTACTTCTATGAATCTTAAAGGGAAAGTATAGTATACATTCAGTGAGCACATATACACTATATTGCCAAAAGTATTGGGGCACCCCTCCAAATCATTGGATTCAGGTGTTACAATCATCTCCATGGCCACTGGATCAAGCACCTAGGCATGCAGACGGCTTCTACAAACATTTGTGAAAGAATGGGTCGCTCTCAGGAGCTCAGTGAATTCAAGCGTGGTTCCGTGATAGGTTTCCACCTGTGCAACAAGTCCATCCATAAAATTTCCTTGCTACTAAATATTCCACAGTCAACTGTTAGTGGTATTATAACAAAGTGAAGTGCACAGTGCACAGAAGTCGCCAACTGACTGCAGAGTCAATAGCTAAAGACCTCCAAACTTCTTTTGGCCTTCATATTAGCACAACAACAGTGTGTAGAGAGCTTCAAAGAATGGGTTTCCATGGCTGAGAAACTGCATCCAAGCCTTACATCACCAAGTGCAATTCAAAGCGTCTGACACAGTGGTGTAACGCATGCTGTCACTTGACTCTAGACCAGTGGAGACATGTTCCCTGAAGTGATGAATCACACTTCTCTGTGTGGCAATCTGATGGAAGTGTCTGGGTTTGGAGGTTGCCTTAAGAGCAGTACTTGCCTGACTGCATTGTGCCAAGTGTAAAGTTTGGTGGAGGGGGTTTATGGTGTGGGGTTGTTTTTCAGGGGTTGGGCTTGGCCCCTTAGTTCCAGTGAAGAGAACTCTTAAGGTGTCAGCATACCAAGACATTTTGGACAATTTCATGCTCCCAACTTTGTGGGAACAGTTTTAGGATGGCCCCTTCCTGTTCCAACATGACTGCACACCAGTGTACAAACCAAGGTCTATAAAGACATGGATGAGTGAGTTTGGGGTGGGGGAACTTGACTGGCCTGCACATAGTCCTGACCTCAACCCAACAGAACACCTGTGGGATGAATTAGAGTGGAGACTGTGAGCCAGGCCGCCTTGTCTGATATCAGTGCCTGACCTCACAGATGCGCTTCTGGAATAATGGTCAAACATTCCCATAGACACACTCCTAAACCTTGTGGACAGCCTTCCCAGAAGAGTTGAAGCTGTTATAGGTGCAAAGGCTGGGCCAACTTAATGTTGAGCCCTTCGGACTAAGACTGGGATGCCAATAAAGTTCATGTGCGTGTAAAGGCAGGCGTCCCAATACTTTTGGCCATATAGTGTATATTGCGTTATTCACATGTTCACCTTAGAACATTATTTTACATGACTTTTTAAAAAGCTTGCTTTTTTGTTTTGATTGTAATAACAATACAATATGTATTCACCACCCACTAAAAACAACAGACAGAACTGTGAAAAATTTACTATTATTTGTAAAAATAACAATATCAACAGACATTTTTAAATGTATAGATATCTCATTGGCCATTGCTTCATTCTATAACAGGAAATGTTCCCCGTGCAATCATAAATAAAAGACCACAACTATTTTGCTTCCTTTAATCTAATGTTGTAGCACTCATGTGATATTACCTTTGACTAATATTCTAAAGAATGGGATTGTTCAACACTTTTTACCTTAATTGTTCCCTCTATAACAAACACATGCCCCATCAAAGTATCAGTAACAATTTTCTCTTTCTATAAAATTGTATTTTGAAATATAGCTTTATGTCTTGGAAAAATGACACCTAGGAATAGGCCCAGGTAAATACATTTAGATCTATTTAGTTGTGTTTTTTACACTTTCCTTTTTTTTTGTATTGCTTTTTGAAATTGCATTATTACTTTTTTAACCAAAATGGACTTGAGAAAAGACCTTCTGTTTGCCCATCACTGTTTAGTGTTGTCATCTATCACAAGAAATTAAGCTGTCACTTGCTAACATAATTAGAGGCAAGGAAATAGGGAAAAGAGAAGACAAGGAAGCAGGTGTATGAGGGATAATTTAGATATTTACCTTAGGTCAATGATTATTGGGAAAACTGTTACTGTTTGTCCTACATTCAAGTTGTGGTAAAGCTGAAGTTTAACCTGCTTATATTTTCCCTTCCCTGGTCTCTATTTTCTTCCCTCATCTTCATGCTAATGAAATTATTAAATAAAACCTTTCTGTTTTTATTACATTCCTATTTTAGACACAGTGACTATGTCTCTTTGTTCCTCTATGCAATGCAGGTAGATCATGGCTGGTGGGATGGGTCAGCAGTGTACTGTACATAGCTGCCTGAAAATATGAAGCTGTGGTAATGCCAACATGTGCTTGTGAGCCGCCATGAGTGAAACAATTGAGCGCAATAAATAATAATAGACATTAGGGCTGGGGAGGAAACAGATGAAATGTGTCAAGCTCTATCTGACTTGCTGTAGCTTCTAATGCACACTATGGGAAACTTACAGCGTGCAGTAAATTATGTTTTTTAACCCCTTCCCATTCAGCCCATGTAGATAAATGGCCAGACGGGAGCGCTGCTGATGCAGGTGGATGTTTCTAAACGTTCCCCCACATCCATTGCCTCCGGACACAGCGGAATACAGATCACTGTACGGGACCTCTGTGTGAGGTCCCGATTCATGTGATCACTGATTGGCCAGTCTCTTCCTGACATCATTGCTTACTACTTGTGAAATTTGTGAATGATCACAGAGGTCACATGGTGCAAGGCTATTCCAACAGCCTTGTACCATGTGACAAGCTGTGACCAATCACAGCTCTCACAGTATTTACCAGTGGCTGCAGGAATGCAGCCAGAGAGAAGGAGAAATGATTGCTTTTGCAGCCATTTTTTACTGGATTAAAAGCAATCAGTGTAAAAATAGAAAATCTTCATCACCCCCCACAAGTAGTACAGTGTCACTATGGTGATACTGTACTGCTAGGTTGACAGTATGTTGAAAAAACATAAATAATAATATTAAAAAAAAAAATAAAAATGTCAAATTTTTTAAAAATTATGTTTGGTTATAAACTAATTTGGGTTATTTTTTTTACTAAAATGATAGATGAAATACATTTTGGCCAAGATTTATGAAGATTATTTATTTGCAAATTTTTATATACGAAAAACACTTTCTTAAAAAAATGTGTGGACTTTTTCATTTATATAGCAAAAAAATTTAAATCTCAGTGGTGAATAAAACCACCAAAATAAAGTTTTATCTGTATCAAAAAAATGCTAAAAAATTCATATGGGTACAGTGTTGCATGACCGCTCAATTGTCATTCAAAATGTGATAGCACTGAAAGCTGAAAATTGGCCTGGAGTGGAAGGGGGTGAAAGTGTCCAGACTTGACGTGGTTAATGCAATGGTCTTCAGAGTGTTACAGTACCTTTTTTCACAATCCTGGATCTTTTCTCATGACAGAACAGCCCCTCATTTTATGTTTTTGGTCTTTTTTGTTTTTTGACAGAAAGAGAAAACAGACAAAAAAACATTAAAAAGAAATATACCAAAAACTACACTAAATACACCCATAAAAAAAACCATAAAAATATAAGAAAATTGATTTTTTAAAATTGAACAGATGACAAAACAAAATGGAAATTTCCTGTTTTGGTAAAATTCCACCAGCTATTGCAAGGGCAAGAGTGAAACAGACAGATATAGAACCCCTCCAGAAGCTGTCATGTGATTGCAACACTGCCAGCCCAGTTTGTTTAGGGCAGGAGATTCCCTGCCCTGAAGCGGCACATAACAAAGAGGTAGGTATGCTTGTGACATCATTGACCTAATATGGCCACATAGCCATATGAGAACAATATAATTCCCTAAATATGGCTATGTGGCCAAATTAGATCAATGATGTCACAAGCATCCCCGCCCCTTCTTATAGAGGCAGCTGTGGGCAAAAAAATTAAAAATGGAGTAGGGTCTCTCCTCAAATTCCATACCAGACCCATTGAATTTCCTTCCCTTACTCATTCACATACAAAAGTAAAAAGCAGACACAGGTCCTTTTTTTAAAAAAAAGTCCCAAATGTAAGTCCATTGTAAATCATGTCATCCAGCGATGTAGGTCCATGTCAATTATGATGAACAATGCCTGATGAAAGATAGGAATCTCGCTGACTGAAAGACACATCTGATCCCATCCCGATGTGAGTTGCGTGGCATCTTCTGGGCTTTTAGTAAATGTCACTGCCCAAATGTGGCAATGTGGCTATGCACGATCAGCCATAGCTTTATGACCATCCACTTCATATTGAGTAGGTCACACTTGCCACTAAAACAGCCCCTTTTGCCACTAAAACAGCCCTGACCCATCGTAGCATGGAGACACTAGATCCTAAAGGTATGCTGTGGTATCTGGCACCAAACCATCAGCAGCAGATCCTGTAAGTTGCGAGGTGTGACCTCCATGGATCAGACTTGTTTTTCCAACACATCCCACAGATGCTCAATTCTATTGAGATCTGGAGAATTTGGAGGCCAAGTCAACACCTCAAACTCATTGTTGTATTCCTCAAACCATTCTCGAACCATTTTTTCAATGTGGCAGGGTGCATTATCCTGCTGAAAGAGGCCATGACCATCATGTAATATTGTTTCCTTGAAGGGGTGTACTTGATCAGCAACAATGTTTAGGTAGGTGGTATGTGTCAAGCAACATCCACATGAATGGCTGGATCAGAGGTTTCCCAGCAGAACATTTCCCAAAGCATCACTCTGTCTCTGCCTTCTTCTCAAACTGCATCCTGGTGCTATCTCTTCCTTAGGTAAGCAAAGCACACACGGTTGGCCATCCACATGATGTAAAATAAAATTTGATTCATCAGACATGGCCACATTTTTCTTTCACTCCATGTTCCAGTTCTGGTACTCACGCTCTTACTGTAGACATACACTCACCAGCCACTTTGTTAGGTACACCTTGCTAGTACAGGGTTGGACCCCCTTATGCCTTCATAACTGCCTTAATTCTTCATGGCATAGATTCAACAAGGTGTTGGGAACATTCCTCAGAGATTTTGGTCCATATTGACATGATTGCATCACGCAGTTGCTGCAGATTTGTTGGCTGCACTTCCATGATGTAAATCATCTGTTCCACCACATCCCAAAGGTGTTCTACAGGATTGAGATCTGGTGACTGTGGAGCCCATTGAAGTACAGTGAACTCATTGTCATGTTCAAGAAACCAGTTTGAGATGATTTAAGCTTTGTGGCTTGGTGCATTGTCCTGCTGGAAGTAGCCATCAGAAGATGGGTACACTGTAGCCATAAAGGGATGGACATAGTCATCACCAATACTCAGTTAGGCCATGACATTTAAACAATGCTAAATTGGTATTAAGGGGCACAAAGTGTGCCAAGACAACATCCCCCACACCATTACACCACCAGCCTGAACCGATATAAGTCAGGATTTATCCATGCTTTCATGTTGATTAAGCCAAATTTTGACCCTACCATCTGAATGTCACAGCTGAAATTGAGACTCATCAGACTAGGCAACATTTTTCCAATCTTCTATTGTCTAATTTTGGTATGCCTGTGCAACGTGTAGCCTCTGTTACCTGTTCTTAGCTTACAGGAGTGGCACCCAGTGTGGTCTCCTACTGTAGCTAATCTGCTTCAAGGTTTTATGTGATGTGCATTCAGAGATACCTTTGTTGTAACGAATGGGGTATTTGAGTTAGTGCTGCCTTTCTATCATCTCGAAC